AGGTGTGAGCAATACTTGAGAGAAAAGCCAAGTTCTATAGTGTGCAAAACACGAGCGTTGAGTGCCATTCTGTGAGAGAGTGGAGTGAAACATGTAAGGGAGTGTTGAGAGGTCCTTTTATTTTCTGTTTCTGACATTCCTTACAGGTTTCAATCATGTCAAGCGGTGATGACAGAAAACACCAAGTGGATGATTCCTTCATGCTCAAAGCTATGCAACAACAATTTCAGAGGCTAGACATCACGTTTGGTGAAATTAAAGACAACATGGAGAAGAACGATGCAACCATTGCCAAGTTATACCAAATACAGAATGGAAGTCCAAATTTGCATAATCACGATCTTGATGACAATGATGAAGACGCATTCAACGATGATGCCCAGAACTCAAATTTCAGCATAGACAGATTTATGAGAAGTAGATGGGGTCAAAAATATAGATTTAACAAAGGAGACCAAAATCTGGCAAGGTGGGGAGATCGGCAAGATCATGACTTAGGCAGCATCAAGATGAAGATTCCTCCGTTTCAAGGGAAAAATGATCCATATGTGTATTTGGAGTGGGAAAAAAAGGTGGAATTGGTGTTTGATTACCATAACTATTCTGAGGAGAAAAAGGTGAAACTAGCAGCGGTGGAATTTACTGATTATGCTGTGGTGTGGTGGGATCAACTTGTGCTTAGTCGACGTAGAAATCGAGAGCGTCCTGTTGACACTTGGAAAGAGATGAAAGCTGTGATGAGAAAACGATTTGTTACTAGTCACTACTACCGTGATCTCTATCAACGATTGCAGGGCCTTACTCAAGGGTCCAAAAGCATTGAGGATTATCACAAAGAGATGGAAATTGCAATGGTTAGGGTGAATGTGGAAGAGGACAGAGAAGCAACTATGGCACGGTTTCTGCATGGTTTAAATCGTGATATAGCTAATGTGGTGGAACTGCAGCATTATGTGGAATTAGAAGATATGGTGCATATGGCGATGAAAGTAGAACAGCAACTCAAGCGTAAAGGAGCCACCACCAGAACTGGGCAAATTTCAGGTTCCTCATCTTCTTGGAAACTGAATTGGAGCAAAAAGGAAGAAAATTCTGTTTTTAAGCCTAAAACTGCAACATCTAAGTCAAAAGAAGTTGGCAGCAATGAGAAGAGTAAAACAGATAATACGCAAGGCAGAAACCGAGACATCAAGTGTTTTCGATGCTTGGGAAGGGGGCATGTTGCATCGTAATGTCCTAATAAGCACACGATGATCTTGAGAGAAGATGCAGAAATAGAAACAGAGGGTGAATCTGATGATGACTCTATGCCACCAGTGGAAGATGTTGATGATGGCATGGAATATGCTGTTGATGGAGAACTGATTGTCACCAGGCGTGCTCTGAATGTGCAAGCCAAAGAAGATGATGAAGTACAACACGACAACATATTTCACACGAGGTGCCATATCAAAAATAAGGTATGTAGTGTGATTATTGATGGTGGCAGTTATACTAATGTAGCTAGCACTGTTTTGGTTGAAAAGCTTAATTTACCTATGAAGAAGCATCCAAGGCCATATAAGTTGCAATGGTTAAATGATTGTGGAGAAATTAAGGTAAATAAGCAAGTTCTGGTTTCATTCTCTATCGGACGATATAAGGATGAGGTACCATGTGACGTGGTTCCCATGCATGCTGGACATTTACTTTTGGGGAGACCATGGCAATATGATAGGAGAGTAACACATGATGGCTTCAAAAATCGCTATTCGTTCATCATGGAAGGAAAAACAATTACTCTTGTGCTGTTGAGTCCAAGGCAGGTTTATGAGGATCAACTGAGACTGAAAAAAAAGAGTAAGCTGAGAAAAGAGAGTGAGCTTGAGGGTATGAAAAGCAGAGAGAAAACAGTAGAGAAATAGTTAAAAAGGAGAGAAAAGATTGAGAGTGTTGAAAACAAAGAGAGAAAATCAGTGAGTGTTTATGCAAAAGAAAGTAATGTCAAGGCTACGTTCTTTGCAAACCAGCCTATGTTTGTGCTTCTGTATAAAGATGCTTATTTCAACACTAACGAACTTAATGATTCTTTGTCTAGTGCTATTAAATCTCTTTTGCAGGACTTCAAGGGTGTGTTTCCAGATGACGTTCCTAATGGTTTACCACCAATAAGAGGAATCGAGCATCAAATTGACTTCATTCCTGGTGCAACAATTCCAAACCGACCAGCATAT